CATGTAATTATAAATAACTAATAACTATTAAAAGACACATAGTGTAAATGAAATCGATAAATCAATCACTTCTTAAATAGCAGAAAACAACCCGGTTGAAATTATATCTTTTCTAAAATACATTTTAAAATACACAAAAAGTATTAGAACACTCCAATAATATACATAAAGAAACACCTTCTTAAAGCATGTAGAAACTGAAAAACACTAGTCAAAAGTACAAATAAAAAAAAAATTAATGTGTTGTCTCTCAAAAAATAGTCGTTGACATGTAATAGACACATTGAGATATAAGTAAACTATTAAAAGACATGATTGATAAGTCAATCATTTCTTAAATGAAAAAAAAAATAGTCAGGTCGAAATCATGATTTTTCTAATATATAGTTAAATTACATAGAAAGTATTAACACTCCTCAATAACATCACAAAAATGTATTTTTATGAATGCCCGTAGAAACTGAAGAAATGTTTCTTCAAAAATACAAATGAAGAGAGTAAGAAGGTTAATGCATTGTCTTTCACAAAACGAGGGATAATACGCAATGGATGTGTTAGGATATAAACAGTCTATTGAAAAACACATAACGTAAATGACATCAGTAAACCAATCATTTCTTAAACAATAAACAAAATCACATTGAAATTCATGGCCTTTCTAATATACAATTTAAATCACATAGAAAGTATTAGACACCATAATAACTACAGAGTAAGCATTGCGGAAATCTTGTAGAGACTAAAGCAACACTTTTTCATAAACAAAGAAATAAAAAGTCAATGAGTTGTCTCTCACAAACGATGGATGACATGCAATGGACACGTTAAGATCAAGAAAACTTTCAAAAGACACGCAATTTAAATGACATCAGTAAATCAACCATTTCTCAAATGACAACAAACAGTCATGTCAAAACCATGACTTTTCTAATATATAGTTTGAATTTACTAAAACACTTCAATAACAACACAAAAACAATTCTGGAAGTATGTAGAAACGAAAGAAACGCTTCTTCGAAAGTATAAGAAAAGATAACGTGTTGTTTCTCATGAACTGCTGAAAGACATACAGTGCACACGCAGAAGATACAAGTAAATTATTAAAAGACACACAATGTACCTGATATAGATAAACCAACCATTTCTTAAATGATAGAAAACAATCACGCAAATATCATGTCTTTTCTAATATATAGAAAAGTATTTCACGATAACAACATCAATATCAATCACATACCCCAATATATTTTTACATATGAAACTAGTCATAACCACAATATTTATATAATTGAAGCATGTATAAGTCGAAGAGAAAGTGTACCTGTTTGCTTTCACAGAATGCCTAATGCATTTGAGGTTTCCAATTAATGCAAGATTAAACATATACAAAACTACCACATAGGAATCGAATGCATTATTAAGAGAACTAACCAGTGATATGGCAAAAATGAGTCAAAGGCAAAGAACTTTCAGTGTTCAGACTTATTGTAGAGATGAGTAGGAGAGCTCGATAGATTTTTCATTCATTTTGAAGAGAACGAGAGCTTGAGGGTATTTTTCCAGTGATCAGTCCACTGCCAAGTAGAGAGGAAAGGAGTTGTTTATATATCATAGAAGTAGTAATCAATCAAGGAGAGAAAAATGCAAAAATAATTCACAATCTAATCTAGAAAATCCATTTCTTAGACAACCGAATCAGATTTTCCAAAATATAAGACCAAGTACAAAGGGGCTGCTCTATAAAAGTGTGTAAATTCACGCGGAATTTATTGCAGAATAAAGAAAACTTCCTCAAGTTCGAACTTACCATAAGAGATAACTCATCAAGATATCCGTGGAGAAAACAAATAAGAGAGTATGAATTAACTGAGCATAAATGAAGCAGAAGAGGAGGAAAGCAAATTGATATCGGCATTCATAAATACAACAGTTTTCCAGTCTAATTTAAGAGAGGAATCAGTTAACAATGGAAAAGGAGACAATTATTCAAGCTGGTTGTAAATCTAACATGCCAACATCAAAGTTTACCTTAAACAATTGCTAAACCGAGGCAGTATCAAGTCACCATATCTATCATAAATCAAGCTTAAGAAAGGAAGGAAGCAAATTGCTACAATAACCACATGAGATCACATAAGGAGGGAAAGTATATTATTCAAAATCACTTGATTCAGGGATACAGGGACTCGATTCATAAATAATACGATACAGAGCATGTAAGTACAAAATCAATCTATCACGCATAATACTGAACAAGCTACAACGAAGAATAATAAAGAACTAAGGATTAACGGAAGCAAATTCCTACAATTAGTAATCATAAACATACCTAAATCAGAAGCTAATGCTAGAATTATTTTCAACTTAGAGAAATATTTTCAGAAATTCGAACAAAGAGTGGATGGAAGAGATGTTGGAAAGACAATATCCGAATCAATTTGTAAGAAACTATCCGACACTGCCTTTTCTGATTCACTGGTGGTGCTGGCTGGACAGTGAAGGTGGCAAGGGGAAGAGCGGAGGAAAAGCAGCGGCTGGGCTAGGTTGCTTGATGGCGTTTGCTGGTGGAGCGGTGGTCGGAGGCGAGGTGGAGGTGGGGGCGGGGAGAGGCTGAGGTGCGGTGGTTTTGTGAGAAATTGAAATGGGGGGTTTGTGGACATAATTAGGGTATTACAACTACAAAATCTCAAATTTTGTCACCATCATGGGTTGAGCATAAATATCGAAAAATCGAATTATTTTGTTTCTTCAATATCAATTTTTTGGTTTTTTAATTTTGTGTCAATTTTTTATTTTCGAAACTTCAATTCTGAATTCAGTGCACCAAAGAATTAAAGTTTTATTAAATAAATTTAATAATACTTAATTATATTGCTTAATTAATAATACTTATACAATTTTTTCTCAAAAAATAACTAATGACTTTTGTCCGTTAATTTAAATTATAGAATATTACAAATTTAATCTTAAATCAGCTCCCATTAACTAATAATTCAAATCTACGTAAATAAAGGACAATTAACTCTAACACTTAATAAGATATTAACGAAACTCATAACTCAATTTCAGTGGAGATCAGTTTGCCGAAGAAATTTGCAGGCAAGTGGTGGTGTAGACTTGGGCCTAATCTTAATTTCTAAAATTTGGCCGATGTTAATTAAAACTTGGGCTTCCTTCTAAATGAGCGTAGATTCATGTTTTAATGATGAAATTTCGTAAAAATAAAATGTTTCTCCAAAAATAAAAACAAATGAAGAAAAGTTAATGTGTTGTCTCTCATAAAACGATTAAGATGATTATGCACCAAAGTATAAGTAACTAATAATTGTTTCCTCTGTTTTTAATTATTTGTGTATTTTTTTCTTTTATATTTGTTTCTAATTATTTTTCAATTTTGATAAATTAAGAAAGGACACAAAAAGTTTAGTTATTATGTCCTCAATATTAGAAAAAAGCAAAATATATTATTAAAAAAATTTAATTTATTTTATTCACTTTATAATTAATAGGGATAAAATGATAAACTCAATAAATCAATAATTGTTTTCTTAATAGTTGTGTCAAATCAAAAGTGAACTAGTAATTAAGGACAGAGAAAATATTAAAATACACTAATGTAAATGAAATCGATAAATCAATCACTACTTAACTACACAAAAAACAATTAGATTAGAATGATATCTTTTCTAATATACAGTTTAAAATACATCAAAAGTGAAAACACTTCTGAAAATATGTATAGAAAACACTTAATCAAATGTACAAATAAAGAAAAAATAAATCAATGTGTTATCTCTCAAAAAATAATTGATGACATGTAATAGACATATTGAGATATAATTAAACTATTAAATGATATGTAACATAAATGATATTGATAAGTCAATCCATTCTTAAATGAAAGAAAATTCGTCAAGTCGAAATCATGATTTTTCTAATATATAGTGAAATTACATGGAAAGTATTAACACCCCTTGATATGTATTTTTTTTGAATGTCTGTAGAATATGAAGAAACGTATCCACAAAAATACAAATAAAAAAAATAAAAAGCTTAATGCATTATCTTTCACAAACGATGGATAACATGCAAGATACACGTCAAGATATAAACAAGCTATTAAGACAACACATAATATAAATGACATCGATAAACCAGTTGTTTCTTAAACGACAAAACCACATCGAAATCATGACCTTTCTAATATACATTTTAAATCACATAAATAAATACTAGACACTAAAATAATACAAAAAACACAGTGAAATTCTTGTATAGACTGAAAAAACACTTTCTCATAAAATAAATAAATTAAAAAGCCAATGCGTTGTCTCTCACAAACGATAGACGATATGCAATGGACACGTTAAGATCAAGTAAGCTTTCAAAAGACACGCAATTTAAATGACATCTAAATCAACCATTTTTAAAAAAATAGTCACGTCAAAATCATGACTTTTTAAATATATAGTTTGAATTTACTAGAACACTTCAATAACAACACAAAAACACTTCTAAGTACATGTGGAAACGAAAGAAGCGTTTATTCAAAAGTACAATAAAATAAAAAAGCCAACGTGTTGTTTCTCACAAGCCGCTGAATAACATGGAGTGCACAGGTAAAAAATATAAATACATTATTAAAAAACACACAATGTAACTGATATCGATAAATCAACCATTGCTTAAATAAGAGTAGAAAATTATCATGCAAAAATCATGTCTTTTCTAATATATAAAAAAGTATTTACCAATAACAACAACATCATTATCTATCACCTATCCTATGTATTTTTACATATGAAATTAGATAATGATAGAGTATATTATGTAATATTTATTTTTACCTCGTGAAAATGGCAAAATTATTTTCGAAAGATTCTAGATTCAAATAAAACATTCGCCAAAAATATTTTCAAATAATAAGTGTCTCAATTTTTTAGTTAAAAAAAAGTGAGAATCTTTTTTTATTTAGAAGTACTTATAGAAGAGAAAAAAAAAGGCCAAAACTTTAAATGGAAAAAGAATTAATAAATTCTTGAGAAGACCTGGAATTAGTTCCCTCCTTCCTCAAGCTCGAAACAAACTATTCTCCCTGCCGCCTTTGAATGATCAAGAATCCTGCTAAAACTCAAAAAAAATTAAAAATCCATTCATGAAAACCTCAAAAATTGTTTTTTTAGCTTGATTGTCATCTGGGTATCTGTCAAAATTGTTAATTTTCATCTGTTTGGAAAACCCAGAATTCTCTATGTCAGGTTTATCATTTGGGTTATGAAGATTCAACTTTTTCTTCTAAATTTATTGAATTTTTGCTTTAATTGTTAGTAGTTCAAGCAAATTTCATCTGGGTCGAGTGTAGATTGGCCATTTATTGGCAATGTTGAATAATTTGGAGGATGGGGGAAAGAATTCTTCAGAGGTTTCAAGAGGGGGTAATGGTAGAGGGGGTGGGGGTACAAGGTCATGGGGAACTACTGTTTCTGGTCAATCGGTTTCTACTAGTAGCAGTATTGGGTCTCCATCGAGCAGAAGTGAAGCCGCCATGGCTACCCCTGCCAGTGACAACACTTTTCTTAGGCTAAACAATCTTGACATTCATGCTGATGATGCAGGATCTCAAGGGACAGCTGGGTGAGTCCTTTGTTGTTTTAATGGTATCTGTTTGGTTTTCAATGAAGATAAAAATGGTATCTTTATTGCTTGAACTTTTTGAAGATGGGAACTCTATTCAGTGTAGAAGTTGATTCAGGATGTATATGTGTGTATAATGAAAATTTGAAGCTAAATTTTAAGAATATGTATGGATAATAAGTTGCCTGCAGACTTTATATAATGGATTAGCTTAGGATTTTGTTGTTTTTACTAGTCTATCCGATAATTAAATGAAATGCTAGTCTAGAGGAATTACGGTGAACTGCTAAACCGTGAGATAATCGGACTTGGATTAGCTAGTTATCTTGAGTTTAAGACTCATAGACGTGGCTTAAAGAGTGGACTAATGGATAACAAGGACACGCGTAAATTGATAATGCTTGAACATTACGGGAAATATGTCAGAAGAAGTAAGTGCAAAAAGCTTATAGGAATTCAGTTCTATAGTGACACATCTTGTCTTTTCTACTTCGTAGCAATTTGATCTGCGACCATGTAAGGTGATGGTCTTACTAAGTTTGGGAAAACATGACCCTTTAATATTGTCTTGGAATAATAAGTGTCCATTGTTGTGGTTTAGACATCATACGCTGAGATGTTACACTTTTCTTCACATTTGATGATTTGCTAGATTACAATGTTATTATGCGGTTTAACATGGAACTCACAATTGAGTCGTTAAAAGTGCACGTCAATAGTTTCTCTTACAGTAATGTTTCCTTACATAAACTTACCTTAACTTCTTGTTAGTAACAGGAAAAAGAAAAGAGCTCAGCGTGCTACTGGAGGGGATAAGAGTGGTAGAGGACTCAGACAGTTTAGCATGAAAGGTTTTTTCTTTTAATCAGTTTTCATCTTCTTTTGGGTATTACATTGGAGAAACGTCTTAAATTTTGCAGTGAGGGTTGCTTTTATTTCACATTATCATTTATTTCTTGTGTGTTACAACTTGCTAGTATCTTTATTTATTTGAGCTCTGGTATCACAGCTTCCTACTAATTACTAAGCTATTGTTTTCTTTCTACAGTTTGTGAGAAAGTGGAAAGCAAAGGAAGAACTACGTATAATGAGGTAAGGACGCTTGAGAAAACTCATAATGTTATAAACATTAGGTGATTTTAAAATTTCTGCTGTTCCCTTTATCTGTACTTTATTTCACAAATCAATCCTATGATTCAGTGAATTCAGTTTAATAGTTGGGGCCTTTTTAGTGTTCCAATTCATATTATATATTCGAAACCCTTTCTCGTCCGCACAATGTATCTGCGGGTGTCCCACATCGAATTTTATTATTATGATGACTCTGATATATGATGATGATTTCTTATTTTGATGACTTTGATGTTTAGTATCTTGTTCTGGCAGCACCTGGTAAGCAAACTACAAAGGAATATGCTAACTTCTATATCTGTTTTGAGATAACCTTTTCTATTTGACCCGTCCATTCTTTCTAACTTTTGTCATGCTATTGTATTTTTTTTTACTTGTGTAATATCACACTATCAGCATGATAATCAAACTTAGAGTTGATTCCATTTTCCCCATCTTATACGAACACATTGGTGTACACATTTTGACCTTTTGGATGAATTTATGGTATCAAAAGCTCCCATTCTATTGAACCTCTCAACTAAAAATGCGTCATGTTAGTTGGAAGTACTGTATCTCAAGTTTTTTTTTCCTTCAGTGGATATATTTAGGGTAATTTGGAGGGTCCACGGTCCTGTGTTTTTTAACCCTTAAAACATTGTGACACTTTCTCTTGTTTGCTGTTTGGCACTTCACTTTTCTTAAGGTAGGGCATTTCATTCTGCTAGAACTACAGATGGAGACGCTAACCTTGTAATTCTTTTTAACTGTACAAAAGAATTGATAGTAACTTGTACTACATTTTGGAAGGGAAGCAAGGAGCAGAGTCTTAGTCGTTGAGAAGTCTACTAAGTTGTGAATAATTAGGTGGATGATTGTTTCCCTTATTGGCAGCTTATAAATTCTTTAAAACCCCTAGTTTATTTATATGTGGTCCCTGGCGCTACAAGGACTATGAAGGGTCCAAGTGTCATAGGATCTCCTAATTAATACTTTTAATCATTCTTCAATTGCCTTTCCTTCTCTATGGTAAGAGAATTTTAGAGGTAGATGTACATAATAGTTACTCCCACCTTTTTATTTTGTTTGTCCTGCTTTGACTTTATACGTAGGTTAAGAAAGTAAATGCGGCTTTAGAATCTTGTGGTCTTAAATTAAAGATTGTCAAATGTACCAGAATGCCCTTCAACTTGTGGTTTCAAACATGCCATGTGGAAAGTTGGAATTAAAGGGTTGCAACAAAAAAAAAAGAGGCATTCTTTTTTAAACAAACTAAAAAGGATAGGACAAACAAATTGAAACGGAGGGAGTATTAATTATGAGATGATTCACTAAATGGCTTTTGGGTATCAAAATAATGTCTCACAAGGGCATATAATTTATGGTTTTTCTTCCTCAGAACTAGTAATGTGGTTGTTTCTGTCTTCGGGTTATGTCTTGATATTAATCATGTCCATGACATGAGCAGTGAGATGTATAATATCTGTTCTGTTCATTGAATTAATAGATTTACGGTCATAGTTATTATTCAAGAAATTGGTGCATAAATTTTCTGTAGCTTAATCTAGTTTTTTTTTCTTAAGGACATCCTTATACACAAAAAGCTGAAATACTTCAACTGTAAATTCTTTAAGCAAGTGCAACACTCTATATAGCCTCATAATAAATATTCAAAAGAGAAGAAATCACTGTAATGAATGCCCAACATAATTTTACAGATTATATCAGTTAAAGAAACTCTTTGAGCAGGGTTCTTGTTTTTAGCTTGTAAACTTCAGACTCATTGAACTGTTATCTATTTTTGGCCCGGGGAATTCTATAGATGTTAGGTAATGTAATTTTCAAAGAGTTATCCCCACACCACCTTTAGGAGTGACATTTGTGGTGGACAAGATGATGGAAGCGAGACTGAGATGGTTTGGGCATGTAAAGAGGAGATGCACAAATGCCCCAGTGAAGAGGTACGAGTTGGGTATAGTGTGGGAGACGTGGAGGTAGGCCAAAGAAGTATTGAGGAGAGGTGATTAGACAGTTAAGATGCAACTTCAGCTCATAGAAGAACATGATCTTAGATAGGGAGGGCATGGAGGTCGTGGATGAGAGTAGAAGTTTTGTAGGTAGCTGAGTTTGGTCTCACTTTTCGGTGGGATTTGTCTTGGTGAGAGTCTGCCGTCGGGAAGCACCGTGATGGTCATAGTATTAGCCTTATACATGTAGTATCTCACTTTTGATATCTGTTACCATCTGGTGTCTTTTGTGTTTCAGTTGTCACATTATTTTGCTGCTACTGTTCCTTTTTCTAAATGCTTTGTACTACTTTCTTTATTAATCAACATGTTTTCTTCACTTCGTTATTTCTTATTTACAACTACTATAATTTGTTGTAATTGAGTCGAGGGCCTCCCAGAAACCTATGTTTCTCGAACTCTCCAAAACTGATGCCACACTCGTGTCGGATTCTTCAAAAATACACTACTTTTGGATAATCCAAAATGCACCCATCACAATTTTTAGAGAGTCCGAGCAACATAGCCGAAACAGCCTCTCTGCCTCCTGCGCCCAGAAACTTGACAAGGGTAGTTGTACTTCTGTTGTTGGCTTCTAAGGACTTATTTGCACTTTTAACTGTACTCTAGCATTTTCTACGGCTGATTTCTGCTTGCTACATTCTCCTGTGTTGAACAATTTGCTTTTCAAGGGATTTCTGATCTCAGAAGTTAATGTCTTGCTCAGGTTGCAGATGAACTTGTAGCTGAGTTTTCTGATGCTACCAATAGTGTTGCAGGCTCAGATCAGGTTTTTCTCCATCCTCGCGGTTCATAAATTTTTAATTTGTTCGTTTTCAACAATAATATTAGTTTGAACCTTTATTATGACAGAAACAATATGATGAGAAGAACATCAGACGACGAGTCTACGATGCTCTGAACGTACTTATGGCTATGGATATCATTTCTAAAGATAAAAAGGAAATACAGTGGAAGGGATTACCACGCACTGATGCAAATGATATTGAGGAGCTAAAGGTTTGATTTCTCTAACTTTCTTCTTCCTCTTTTTTGTTGCATTCAATGAGCCATCACTTTTGGCACACATCAGTTGATCTATGTTTAATCTAATCTCATGTTGTAACTGCAGACTGAGCGTCTTAACTTGAGAAATAGGATTGAAAAGAAAGCAGCTTATTTAGAAGAACTTGAAGATCAAGTATAAATTCTCTCTAAACACTATCTTTAGTTCAATCTTAGAAATAAGTTTGGTAGTCTTTCGCAATGCTGATGCATGATATCTTGGTCCTGTAATCCTTATTCTTTTTACTAAACTGTTTTCCTTTTAAAATAGTATGTAGGGCTTCAAAACCTCATAAAACGCAATGATCAGTTGTATGGCTCAGGCAATGCTCCTAGTGGTGGTGTGGCTTTACCGTTTATTTTAGTGCAGGTAAATGCTCAACAATCATCTATTGTTATTTGTATTGTTTAGCAAATTAGTAACTATCTGATATAAATCATTACATTCTTTAATATGTCATCTCATGATTTCTTTTGTTGGAATTAGTTTAATCTACAAGCAAGGCAAGTAAGCTCGGGGCAACATGCTTTCCTCAACTTGTCTTAGCTGTACTTGAGCTCAAGTGAATTTTGACCTATCTTAGGCCGTATAAATTTGATATTAACAAAAGCTTATTGCTTTTCGCCTACATTTGAGCATAGGCTTCTTTCTAATAATAAAATCAGAAGGATCACTTCTATATAAGAATGAGAAGACAGATATAGGATACCTCTGGTCTCTGAAAGAGGAGAAAAGAGGAGAGGTTTTCTCTATTTGTAATTATTTTCACAAGATGTATTTGTACAGAAGAGAATATGTAAAATATTATTTTTCAAAATCATCTTCACAATACCTTTTTTTTATCAACTTATTGCCCTGCAATGAGGTGTGAAAGGTTGGCTACGGGGTGTGTGGGGGGTAGAGGTAGAATTATGCTGAAGAAGTGACACAATTGCAACTTAGCGAGGACATGGCCCTAGATAGGATGATATGGAGGTCGAGGATTAGGCTAGAAGGTTCGTAGGTAATTGAGCGTTGCCTTATTTTCCTTATTAATATTATTATTTTCCTAATATCTTAGTCTTCTATTTTATACTTACCTGTTGTTTCCTTTTTTCTAGTTATGGTTTATATGTTGTTGCTACTGGTCCATTATTTTCCACATGGCTTTTTGATTGCTGTTTTCCTTCTCATACTGATTCTTTATGCTTCACTTGAGCTTGAACCAGTGTCTATTTGAAACAACCTCTCTACCTTCAAAGATAGGGGTAAGGCTGTGTACACACGACCTCCATAGATTCCACTTGTGAGATTACACTCGGTGGTCTTGTTCAACGAAATATTGTCCCAAGACCTACTTAAGATTGAGTTAGTTAATGAAAATGGGTGAGTTATAACATGTGAACTTTTCAATTTGTACCTGAATAGTGTTTTTTTGTTTTTGGTAGTATTGGAATTTTTAGTATCAGTAAAACTTCAAGATAAGATGCAAGAGTAGTGCTATTCTTAGGTGAGTAGAGCTTTTTGGTATCTAAAAGCATAGAACACCTATCTAGACGATTTTCATTGTAGCTTTGAAGGAAGATGAGCTTCTGTATATATTCTTAAACATTGAGTTTACAGTGATCAATATTTCTGAAAGAAAAAACTCTTGTGGTTAAGTTAAATTTAATTATGTTCATAATCTATTCTATTAGTTTCTTTTCTTCCATATCTGCATGCCTCGTCTACACTTGGCTTCTAGTAATAATCTGCAGAAGTAGTAGGACAACCTAAGACCATCTCCAACCCATCTCTATTTTACTCTCCATTATCTATATTTGGAGAGTAAAATAGAGAATTGGGTCTCCAACCACTCTCTAAAAAACTCTCTAATTTCTATTTATAGAAAGGTGAATAGTAGTTCTCTCTCTATTTCTCTATTTTACTTTTTGATTATTATAATATTATTTCTATTATATTACTAATTTAATCTTTATCATTTGTAATTATTTTCTAATGCAATATAACATCTAATAAGTTACTACATCCGCCAAAATTAATTATTTTTTTTAAAAAATTGTCACTTTAAATGTGTAACTTAAAGTTATTTTAATATTATTTATATTATATAAGGTTATTAATTAAGTCTCTAATATTTGTAATTCTTTTCTAAGTAATATAACATCTAAAACATATTATTGATTTTTAATTTTTTTGGTCATTTTAAATATGTAATTTAGATTATAATTATTTTTCATTATGAAGTATGCACAAAATTACATGATAATTCAAACAATCTACTTTTAATATTATAATGATAAATTATTAAACTACATTTTTTATATAGCATGAAAGTATTTGATTCAATAGTTCAAAATGGAATATGGGAAGTAAATTAGTACAGGAAATAATTGGATACAAGATGAAATTGTTAATTTATACAATTTTTAGCTACAAATAAAAAATAAGGACAAAAAATGCTCATTTTGAACTTCATAATACGTTAATAGAACATTCATGAGAGTAACGTAATAGTCTTGAAAGTTGAGTATCTATGTAAGATTTAAAATAATTTTATGATAATACAATATATATGATGCAATTACATTTCATCAATGATTTCACTTTTATTTGAATTGTTCGTTAATATGTATAATATAATATTTATTGCAATTTATGTTATTTAGAATAAAATATAATTTTGTATTAAATGAAAATTTTGAAAAAAAATAAATTTTTGTATTACATAAAGATTATAGAGTGATTATTTTCAAAAAGAAGAAATGATTTATATTATGAAATAAGAAAATAAGAATGAAATAGATATAATAATATAATATTGAGGAAAGAGAAAAAGATTTTTTTTTAGAGAGTAAAATAGAGAATTGGGTTGGAGTTTATTGTATGAAAAAATAGAGAACTTTATATTTAAAGAGTGAAATAGAGGATAGCGTTGGAGATGCCCTAAGCAGGGGTTATGGGGGGTTCTACTTTTGAATCTAATACAGAAGGAGGCATCTGTCTATGACATTTTACTTTTCCTCTTTGCATATTTTGGTTTAAGCCCCATCTGCTTTCTGTTTTTTCTAGAGCCAAGGGTCTATCGGAAACAACCTCTCTAGCTCTCAACGTAGGGATAAGGTTTGTGTACGCACTACCCTCCCCAGACTCCACTTGTGGTTGGCATTACACTGGATATGGTGTTATTATTGTCGTCGTTGCGCATAAGGAGAATCATATGTTGTGACTTGGAGTGCATCATTGCTTTTCCATCAATTTCCTGCTGCATTTTATAATTTGCATGCATTTGTAAATTTCAGCAACAGAATTGAATAGAAAGAAATGTTATAATGCTGATGTCGTAGCATTTCATTGTTATAATGCCCCTTATGTTTCTTGTGGTACGTTAGACTCGTCCTCATGCTACAGTCGAAGTGGAAATATCAGAAGATATGCAGCTGGTGCATTTCGACTTCAACAGGTTAGGGCCTTGGAGCGTCTATACTCTTTTTGGTTCAATGAAAGTGTGAATGACTCGGCTGAGTCCTATATATACAAGTCATACATACTTTTAATATTCATTAACTCATTCAAGTGTGGTTTTACAATTCCAGCACTCCGTTTGAGCTGCATGACGATAATTATATCCTCAAAGCAATGAATTTTTGCGGAAGATCAAATGACGGTTCTGTCCCACAGAATGTATCTGCTGATGGAGGTGAAGGTCCGAGTTCCAGTATGGCCAACATGTTTCAGCATCATATCCCTAATCCATCTGCCCCAAACTCATCTGGCAGGCTTCCGACCTCACCTCCTCTCCCCGGAATACTAAAGGCTCGTGTCAAGCATGAGCATTAGTCTTCTGGCTTCTTTCTTGATCGATTACTGTACTCATTAACGCATAGTATTTCTGTACATTATGTAAAGTATTTTTACTGGAAGCAGCCTCCTCTGTTGACTAAATACTTCTCTTGACCCTTGTCTCAATTTGAGGGAGGTTACTAGTTGAGCTTTTAAATTTTTTTGCTAAGTATCAATTGTTTCATCAAATTGGTATATGTTTTGGCAAATGAAAAACTATTAGACTGTTTGGACATACCTTTTTTTCTTTCAAAATATTGTTTGTTTGGTTATACATTAATAGTTGATTTTTTTTTGAACTTTAGCTAGAAGGTGAGGGTTTTCAAGTTTGAAAAGCTAGTTCTAACCCTCTTTTCAAACAAGAATTTTTTGTACACGCAACAATTTTTTCTAGTGGAACACATTTTTCGATTTCCAAAATACCTTTTTGCAAATATCATTAAATTCATGTCCAAACGACTAAGGTAAGCAACCTTGGTCCGTCTAAATTTTGTTGGACAGAGTTATATTGTGCGTGTATTGGTGGGAGCTAACTAATCGTTGTGCATTTATGTGAGCATGCTATTGGGTTTGAGTCAAAGTTGACTTTGTAGTGGACATAGTTATATAGTTAATATGTTGGTGATAGGTAACAAGTTCTCGTTATGAGTATCTTATTGAATATGAGCCAAAATTATCGTGATTGGATGGATTTGTAACTTTTAGTGCTACACCGGCCTATAAATTAGCATTATCTTTTAGAGGCTTTTTATGGTTAATTTGAACTTGTGACCATGATTTGCTAGCTAGTCACGTAATCATAATGCTTATAATTACATGAATATTGAATAAATTTTCTACAAATACTAGTCATGACTTGATTGATTGATTGAGTATTATATATATAAGTTTAAGGCATACGTGAAAACTTTTTCTTTTCTATAATTCCATCGTTACTTATCTTGCTTCCTCGATGGTATAATATCTTGGAGAATGGAAGCATCCTAAATTCGATTTAAAATTTGGCGTTTTAATTTTTTTTAATGTAAACTCAAGTTAATATATAATAATAATTGAGTCTATAATTATCATAACTTTAAACTCATGACACATATTATCTGTTTTGATCCAAACAAATCTCATAAGTTTGTCTCTCGATTTATATCATCAACAAACCCTTAAATATGTGAACTTATGTTAGTATAGACTAAAAGTAAATTAATCTTTCTACGTAACTCGTGCTACCTCGCAATCGTCACAAGGGTTAAATATTATTAAATATCTAATGAAATATTTTAGTATAATCTTAACAAAAGTTACTGAGTTTTTCGACCCGCATAGGTGGTGGGGTGTGGGTGGTTGGGGGTATATATTGTTGTTGATGAGTTGTTCCACAAATGTGGGGACCTCCCAGCATTAAGGTCAATATCGTGTCTCAACAACATCCTTGTATTTCTTCTAAAACGTCAAGGCACGTGCGATGTAATAGTTTCTTTCTACATCCATCACGTTTCAATATCGTTATTTAAACATATCGATAATCTTTTAAATTTTATTTTAATATTTAAGTTATACTTTGTTTCGGTTGAATATCTTGACACATGATGAAATATTTTGACTTATTATATATCTGTGGTTCAAATTTTGAAAAAAACTTAGGTGAGAGCTCTAAAACGTCCCTCATGTTTGAGATTTGACCACATATTGAGATTAACACATATAATTAAAGAACATGATAGTTAACTTATCTCTGTTAAAAATACGTAAATAAAGAGAATAGTTTTTGGTTAATTTTCTATATATGTTCTTGTGAAAACACTATTACATTTATACAGGTAAGATGGAAAGAAATACGGAACCAGATAAGGAAAATGGTTGTACAGAATATATTACTAACATAATTAGTCTATTTTGTTCCTATAATTATTTTGCTAAATATGGATATTTTCTACACTTCCCCTCAAGTTGTGCACTCGGATTTCCAATGCTCAACTTGCGCAAGACATTGCTGAAAGCTTCAGTACTAACAACCTTGGTTAGGATGTCTGCTAGTTGATCTTTTGATCGAACAAATGGAAGTTTGATAACCTTGTCTTCTAACTTGTCTTTGATGAAGTGTCGATCAACCTCAACATGTTTTGTTCTGTCATGTTGGACAGGATTTCCAGAAATACTTATTGCTGCTTTGTTGTAGCAAAATAACTTGCAGGTTGTTTTCTGAGGAAAACCGAGTTCATTTAGCAGTTTCCTAATCCATAGGATTTTAGTTATTCCTTTCACAATTCCTCTGAACTCAGCTTCCGCACTTGACAGGGCTACAACCTTTTGCTTCTTGCTTCTCCAAGTGACAAGATTCCCTCCTACCAAGGTGAAGTATCTAGAAGTGGATTTCCTTTCATCTAGGTCTCCGGCCCAATCTACATCGGTGTAGGCAATTATATCGAGGCTATCATTTTTTCTGAAGTAGATCCCGGTGCTGCTTGTACCCTTTAGATACCTCAGAATCCTCATTACTGCTGTCATGTGATGTATTTGAGGTAGATGCATGAATCTACTCACTATCCCCACTGCATATGCAATATCTGGTCTTGTGTGGGCTAGATAGATGAGTTTCCCTACAATCTTCTGATATTGCTCTCTGTTAATCGCCTTTGCCCCTTCTATGACCTGAAGACCATGATTTGCTACAATTGGAGTGTCAGCCGGTTTACCACCTAACATTCCAGTTTCAGTTAAAAGATCGAGAATATACTTTCGTTGGTGAATAAAGATCCCTTGTGTGGATCTTAAGACTTCTATACCAAGAAAGTACTTTAAGTTTCCTAGATCTTTCATCTCAAATTCCTGAAACAACTTCCCCTTTAAGGTAACAATTTCTTCCTCATCATCTCCGGTGATGATCATATCATCTACATATATAATTAGACAGGTGATTTTCTGATTTGCCCTTTTTATGAATAAAGTATGATCAGAATTACTCTGTCTGTACCCAAATTTCTTCATAGCCTTAGTGAACCTTCCAAACCAAGCTCTTGGAGACTGCTTTAAACCATACAGGGCTTTCTTCAACTTACATCCTTCTCCATCTTTAAAGTCATGAGAATATCCTGGAGGGGGTTCCATATAGACTTCTTCTTCAATGCTTCCATGGAGGAAGGCATTTTTAACATCGAACTGATACAAGGGCCAATCTTTGTTTGCTGCTACAGAGAACAATACTCGTATTGTGTCTATCTTGGCTACTGGGGAAAAAGTCTCTGAATAGTCGATCCCAAAAGTCTGAGTGTAACCCTTGGCCACCAATCTTGCCTTGTACCTTTCAATAGTTCCATCTGCCCGGTGCTTAATGGAGAATACCCATCTACATCCCACCTTCTTCTTCCCTTTGGGTAGAATACATTTTTCCCATGTGTGATTCTTTTCCAAGGCAACATATTCATTTTTCATGGCTTGTCTCCACTTCTCATCTTCAAAAGCTTCTTCCACGGTTCTGGGAATGTTTGTTGAGTATAGGGAGGTAGTGAAGGCAACAGCTGTGTTGGACAAGTTTTCATTGCTGATTCTTTCTATGGTGTATCTGGACTGTTGATCTTCATATTTCGGGTCATACCTCTTGGGAGGAACACCTCTCGTGCTTCTGTGAGGAAGCTCATATCTGTTTTGACAATTATCACTAGACACAGAGTCAGTAGGAACAGTACATGATTCAGAATTTACCTCAACTGATGTTGACTCAGGGTGCTCAGTGGTTGTCATTGGAGTGGATTGAGGAGAAGGAGCTGATACAGATGTTTCAGAGTTGACGTCGGCGGTATTGCTTACTTGCGTTGGAGGATCATGGTCCATCATTTCTGGATATATTAACCAGCTAAGGTCATCATTCGTAGTCTCCCCCTGAGGACCAGGCTGGGTATAGTAATAGGAGTGTTCAAAAAACTCGCAGTCAAGACTGGTGTAGATTTTGTTTTGAATGGGATCATAGCATTGGTACCCTTTTTGAGTAACCCCATACCCAATAAAAACACATTTAATGGCTCGTGGTTCAAGTTTATTTCTGATTCTTTTTGGGAGATGAACATACACAACACATCCGAACACCCGTGGAGGTAGAGAATGATAGGAAGGGATGGACACATGGGAAGAAAGAGTGTCAAGAGGAGTTTGGTATGCAAGAGGTTTGGTAGGTAGTCGGTTGGTTAGATATGTGGCTGTGGCAATGGCTTCTGGCCAAAAATGGACAGGGACATGGGATTCTAACATAATGGCTCTAGTAATCTCAAGAAGGGTTCGGTTTTTCCGTTCAGCTATCCCGTTTTGTTGAGGAGTATTCGGACAGGTAGTCTGGTGAATGAGGCCATGATCAGAAATAAATTGTTTCATATCTAAGTTTATGTATTCTCCTCCGTTATCAGATCGAAGAATTTGAGGTTGGGCAGCAAATTGGGTACAGATCATGTTGTAGAAATTTATAAACACATCATATACTTCAGATTTATTTTTTAGAAAATAAACCCAACTCATACGGGTGCAATCATCCACAAACAAAACAAAATAGGAATATTTATAAAAGGCAAATTCAAGTGCAGGACCCCAGACATCAGAATGAATTAAGGTAAATGGCTTAGAAACATGAGTCGAACTGGGAGAATAAGAGTGTTTATGACTTTTTGCAAGTACACATGCTTCACAATCCAAAACAAAATCAATGTCCTTAAAAGAGGGAAATAATCGTTTAAGATAACTTAAAGACGGATGACCTAGCCATCGGTGCCACATCCAGATCTGATATTTCGGCGACCCTTGAGCAAGCAAAGCGTTACCCTGTTGAGTCACCTCGTTCACATAGTATAGACCTCCTCGTTCAATACCACGACCAATGATCCGCCCCGTCTGAGCATCCTGTACAATACAATCAGAGGAAGTCATTAGAATTGTACAGTTTAGTTCCTTGGTTAATTGACTAACAGATAAAAGTTTGTGGGTAAGACTTGGAATTAAAAGACAATTTTTTAAATGAATTTCTGATGTAATATCCACATCTCCGGCCTGAGTAATTGGAATAAACTCCCCATTTGCAGTTTGAATCTTAGTACGGGTAGTTGATGTGGAGGAAAGAAAATCGGATGGGTCGTATGACATAGTGTCCGTGGCCCCACAGTCAAAAATCCAATTGGACTTATTGCACATGAGACCCACACTTTGTTTTTCCTTGGGTTTTTTTGTATAATTGGGCTTTTGATTTTTTGGGCTTTTGATTA